AATTGTTAATAAACGGATTTAAATATATACACTCCAACAACAGTGTTATTGCTTCAATAGCCAAAATTCATTTGTTCTTTGATCATCAATAAATATTTCAAAAATATAAAAATATCACGGGAGTGTAATACACTGCATTCAAATTTTCTATACATTAAGCGATGTCTTTGAGATATACTTGAAAGAAAACAGTACTAATATTCTTAGAAGAATATCTGTGTGATATTTCAGGGATGTAATATCTCATGATATCACGAAAATAACGTAAAAACGATATCATTTTACAATCAAATAATATCATGTGCCGTCTGGGTATATTATCGTAGGTCCTTACGATCGTTAGCCTTCGCTAGTCCTTTTTCGACCCTTAATGGTTGCTCTCGCACGGTGAAGCACTGGTTAGCCTAGTGATCGGCACTCTATCTCACTTCTCACTTTTGCACTTTGCGTTCGCGACTTGTAAAAATTTCGACTCTTGCGTGCGCGGTGATCGAGATTTTTCTGAACTGAGAGCGCAAGAGCTTATTTGCTTCTTATACTATTATCGGAAGATGTATGATTCTCGTGTTCTCACCAATCAGGATGACTGATCGGACCGCTGTTCTCTCCAAGCGAGTTGTCGGTTTCTAATTTGTTAATAAACCATCAATGTTGGCGTCGTCCGTCTTGTCTAATGTTTAGAGAGGGGAAGATGCAGATTTTTGAGCTTATTGGTTTTTCTTTTGTCAGGTATCGTCCGTTAGGTCTTGCAAGCAGAATTCTCATTTTTATTTATATGTTTCCTTCCAGAGATCAAGTAATCTTTGCGATTTTTATATTTTTTTAAGTTCTGGCGCCTATGAATTGTTATTCCATGTAGGTGCCGGGCATGTAGATCCAGGATCTGTTTATTGCATTAAAATTTTAATTTTTCTGGTTGTCGGGGATCTTTTGTTTATTAGTCTGTGCAGTTTTATTTTGCGTGCCAGATTTCTCGTTTCGCGTATTTTTCTAAGTCTTAGTCTCCTGCTCTCTATCTGGGAACTTTCCTGTTTTGTTGTTATATTTTATTTTAAATAAAACTTTATTGTCGCGTGTTCGGCACATTGCGTTGCGAAAAGACGGGAACCATGGAGTCTCCGGACGTAACACATTAGATACGATATTTCATACTACTGCAACATAACTGATTCAAACTAATATTGTTATATTTAAAATAGAACTTCTACATTAAATAAAAAATTACACTTTCAATTTCAAAACATATAATAACGGTGTTTTTATAATTGTTAGTAAAAAAAAAACGGCTCGCTATGTTGGATCTTTTACTAGCGGTGTCCCGAGAAAATAGTATGACTGATTCAGACATCAGAGAGGAAGTTGATACTTTTATGTTTGCTGTATGTAGTTTTTATGTTTCATAGATTTTCAGTGTACATTATTTACTCTTAGAACACATACTACTACTATGTGATTACAGGGTCATGATAGTGTAGCAATGGCAGCATGCTTTACCTTAATGTTATTAGCCGAGCACAAGGATATTCAGGTATTCTTTGGCAGAGTACTGTAATTATATCAAAAAGAATTAACCGATTGTAAAATTCTACAGAAGAATTAATTCTATTAGTTGTAAGAGAGTATACATATCTACGTACTTTATATTTACTATATAGAATCGCGTCAGGTTCGAAGTTAACAATGTGATGAAGGAGAACGAAAATAAATTTACCATATCAGTGTTGCAACAGTTATCATACTTAGACAGATGTATAAAGGAATCACTGCGCTTGTATCCCACTGTGCCTTTTATATCGCGACAGATCTCAACAGACGTAAAATTACGTATGTATATTATGTACCTTTACATTGCATACATATTTTTTTACACACAAGATTATATACAGATACATTGTTGAATTTCAGTTTGACAAATTATAATAGAGTTTATTTTTTACTCTTAGTATAATATTTTATATATTATTTTTATAGAATCATATGTAATACCTGCCGGAACATATGTAAATCCTTTTATCTACGGTACGCATAGAGATCCTCATTTTTGGTCAAATCCAGATGTATTTGATCCAGATCGATTTTTGCCAGAAAGGAGTCAAAACCGTCATCCTTACGCTTACATACCGTTTAGCGCGGGACCACGGAATTGCATAGGTAAAACTCCGTAATATATTTCTTTTTTTTCTACATATGAATAATTTCATTCCTCTTATGAATTATAGGTCAACGATACGCTATGTTAGAGCTGAAAGCTATAATCGCTTCTTTGATACACAACTTTTACTTGGAGCCAGTCGATTATATAAAAAACGTAGGAATAAAGGCGGAGTTGGTACTTCGCTTTAATTGTCCAGTTCGTATGAAATTTGTCCCAATTGAATCGATATAGCTATTATAGTCAAAAACAAGTAAAACAAAACGAATTAATATAAATCAATCAACCTAATTTGATAAATGAGCTGATATTAAATCTGAAAGTAAGTTTGGTTAAAAGCATTTGGTCGTAAAGTTACTGTATTAGAAGCAGAAGCGAATGCGGAAGCGCCGTATAGAAAGATTGTTGAACTGCTTCTAATGACTGGCGAATGTTGACCAGTAGTAGTAGTTAATGAAGTAGTAGTAGTTCATGAATCCTCCAGAGTTTCTCCTAGAAGATTAATGACGTAAGGAATTCCGGTGATGGGCAATAAAAAGAGAAGAAATCTTTTAATGGTGTATATCCGACGTAGGTAATGTCTCGCACATGAGCTCTTTTTTTCTAAGACAAAAAAAAAGTTAATAGAGTTGTGCGCGAAAACTTACTTTTCTCGCGATTTAATAACATCTTCAATTTGTTTTTATCAGGTGTAAACATAATCTCAAAAAACTTACATTTTCAGAAAAAGATAAGAACAGACGCCAAGTATACGCACAACATGTATTGTATTTACATTAAAAATCTTAACTTAAACTGTTTTTTATATTATTTTTTATTTATAGAAAAAATTTAAGTTAGGTTTTATTTTATATAAAAAATTCTTTTTCTGTAAAACCTGGATTACAAAATATTATATACTACAAAACATTCTTTCTCTGAAACTCTGTTAAAAAACTTGGCGCGTTGCATCTCAACTATAATAAACTGAAAGTATGTATTTGTGCGGCAGTCTGATGTATAATAGCTACTCAGTAGTGTTTGTTTTAATGTGAAATATATGAAATATAAATTGCACGCGCACATAAGACATGTCTATATCTGTAAGTTGTCGATGCAGTCGCGCCAAGTTTTTTTTTGCATTAAATAGTTTTTATATTCTGAAAAAAATTTTCTATGTATAAAATTGTATGGACATATTCGGCACACACACATATAAATTTGCATAATTAGATATAATAATTTTAATTTGTGTATAAGTATATATGATTATATATCAAAAAGTTTTTAAAAATATAGTAAAAATATAGTTTTATATAAATTTTTTCTATCTAACATGATACTAATAGAGTTATTTTGTAATTTGATATACAATATCTCTGAAGCCATTCTCTTAAAAAAAGAAATTCTCCGTGTAAAATTGTATGGACATATTCGGTATATATATATATATATATAAATTTGGATAATTAGATATAATAATTTTAATTTGTGTATAAGTATATATGAAAAATTTGTTACCGGGTTTTTTTGTTACATCTCTGTGTTCTAGTAATAAATATAAACTTACCAAAGTACAGTAGTTATGTATTTAAAATTAGAGTAAATAATCGCAGAAAAGAAGTTAAGGAGGAGTCTTACTGTTGTATTACACAAGTATGTTATTGTAAATTGTATTTCTATTCTATATTGTTTTTCAACAATTTACTAACGTATAAAATGTTACTTGGTGCTGCCTTTTGATATCACTTCTTTTGTAAAACAGGTTTTTAGAGAAAGAATGTATGTAGTATATAGTATTTTGTAATCCAGGTTTTATAAAGAAAGAATTTTTTTGTATAAAATAAAATCTGATTTAAATTGTTTTTCTATAAATAATAAAATTCTAAAAATTCTAAAAATAATTCTAAAAATAATTCTAAAAATAATAATAATAAACAATTTGAGTTAAAATTTTTAATTTAAATACAATACGTGTGCGTGTGTACTTTGGCGCTGGTTTTACTTTTTTCTAAAAAAATAAGTTTTTTCAGATTCACACATTTTATAACATATACATTGTAGTTTTATAGTAAGTAAAATAACGTACAAAAGTTTATTTGATGCTACTTTTTGATATCACTTCTTTTTCCTCTAAAAACAGGATTTTAGAGAAAGAATGTTTTGTAGTATATAATTTTGTAAATCAGGTTTTATAGAGAAAAAAGTGTTTTTAATATATAAATAATAATAATAAAATAATAAAACTAAATTAAAATTTTCTTGTATACCTAAAATGAAGCAGTTTGACTTAAGATTTTCAATTTAAATCAATAATTTAAATACAATTTGTTGTACCTGGTACTTATTCTTACCTTTTTTTGAAAAAATAAGTTTTTCGAGATATCACACATTTTGTATTTTGTAGTATACGTTGTATTTTTATAGTAAGCTAAAATAAATTTAATTACGTATAAGTTTACTTGATGCTACTTTTTTGATATCACTTAAACCAACTTAAACGGTTTATCAAGTCTCATAAAGATCCCATAGACACATTACAACATAAAAACATAGTTTACAAATTACAATGTAATTCTTGCGAAAATATTTATGTTGGCCAAACAAAAAGGCAATTGAGTACTAGAGTCAAGGAACACAAAAACTATGTAAAAACTTTTAATAAAAATTCAGTCATAGCTAAACATAAATTACTCTCAGGGCATGACTTTATATATATATAATTGTGGGACAACATAAGAATATTAGACATTAAACATAATTATATTAAAAGACTTGCATCAGAAATGTTACACATTAAATTACAACATAGTCTAAATAAGATGCAAGATACTGAAAATTTAGACAATTCATACTTCCCGCTTTTGAATATAATTAACACACGTCTGATGTAAACTTGCCTTTGGCCACATGACACATCAAATTTCAGTTTAACAGCTATCGTTGACTCGTCATCATCACATGTCAACGTCATTGATATGAAAATTTGTAGTCAAAGGTAGGTAAAATAAGTTTGTTATATCACTTTTTTATTTATGTTTTGATTAGACTACACAGTTTGTCCGGAAAGTTCCCGGACTGATTTTTTCTAGCGCGGGTAAGCGGCGCTATCGAGCGGTCAACGCTGGAACTACTTAGTAT